TAGGATTGCCCCAACCCAGGTGGGGTTTTTGTGGAGATCTGTAGACCTACTATTTTGAAAGCTGCTGTTAGTTCCTCTCACGAAAAGGCAGAGCTGGTGACTAAGATTTGACCTTGTAGGTAGTAGGCACTATGTATTTTGCAATTGGAATGAAACTTTGCTGCAGTGCGTAGATTTTGAGTGAATAAAATGGAACAATCTGCATTGTTATGAATTCCAATTTCTCAGAACACAAAATAATTTTGGTTACTGTAAGTGAAGGGGGGTGGGTTTTTTTGGACAGACAGGATATTACTTAATGTTGCTGCATCTTTCTAGGTACCCATCCTATCTGGCACCTGAAGTAATTGCACAGGGAATAGCCAAACCCGGTGATCATACTCAGTGCGAGAAGCCTCTTCCTTCCGGCCCTAAATCAGATCTGTGGTCTCTTGGTATAATACTGTTTGAGCTTTGCATGGTATGTAAGAGGACAGTTCTCTTGATTGGGACTGCTGGGGGATAATTACATTAACGTGATTGCTCTGGAGTATGGGGCTGATGACACTTGGCCCAGCACCGGAAGGGGTTAGCATTCATGCCTGAACGGCACTGGTGGTGGTTCACGCGGTGGGATGCGTGCTGGCTTGGTACGAGTACGTGTGGTAGCCGTGAGGGACACCTGCCTCTTGAGCCAGCGTGATGGGATTGCATCCCTGCAGTTCTTAGCAAGGAGTACCTTCCAGCAGAGAAGTCTCTCTAGGTAATAAATTGTTTTAATTGTGCTTTTTAGCATGAAATAACTGCTGCTTTCATGCCCTCGTTCTCCTTGGAAAGGATGAGAAGCTGACAAAGATTTGTGGAGAGGAAGAGAAGGGAGGATCTGCCTTGTCACCAGTTTAATGAGCTTCTGTACAGAATAAAGGGTTTATTTGAAAAATGCTTTTTGACTCTACAAGTTGAAATACATTGTGACAACATGATCTTTGCTATTTGTATCTGGTAAACTGGGCCTCTTTCGTTCAGAGACAGCAGCCTTCTGTAGGAAGGTATGATCTAGCAAATGCCTCAGTGTTGATATTTAAACCCTTCATAGAAGGTAACCAAACTGTCAGACAATTGCATGGTCACGAGCTTGTTTTGCACAGAGATTAGATCAGGACATTGGAGATGGTTTTCTGCATACTCTGCTCTGTGTAAACTGGCATAGTGTTCATAGATCACTGTGCGAGTAAGTATGCTTTTGGAAAGATGCGCCAATGATGGTTTTTGGAACACCTCTAAGGGTTCCAAAAGCACCACGCAGTAACGCAGGCTATGGGGATTGCTGTGTTTAGTAATTCATTACCTTGCTTCATGCTCACACTGGAAAAAATACGGTTTTTGAAAGCCTTTCCTGAATTAATAGTAAACCTGCAGGTTTGCTAAGGCAGCTCGGGGCTTTGTTTTCCCTTTTTTATTTGGCTTTGCCTTTGTTACTGCTGAGAGATGTTATATGTGATACAATTTTTTAGGTGTTTGGGTTTTTTTTCCTTATGATGGCGTGAAACTGTTTCTGCTCTAGTTGTGGTGAATAATGTTTTCTGTTCCAACAGATAGTTAGAATCTAAAATTCCTGTGTAGAAGCTTATTTCACTGTTTTTGTACATACCTGGGTGTGCACGCTATCTACGTATTTTTATGTAGTAGCACTCAACTGTTGATTTGTTTTTGTTACTTATTTAGGGGAGAAAATTATTCCAGAGTTTGGAGATAGCAGAAAGATTGAAATTTATACTTATGTTAGGTAAGTAGCCCAAAATTGATTCTTTGTTTCCAAGCCATTCTGTAACGAGAGCTGTACAGATCAGTGATGCTCTGACCGAAGGCACTTGACCTTTGTCAGCTTCCATCTCTGGGTTTCCATAGGCATGTGAAGCGTGGGTGCTTCTCCAGGGAAGGTCCAGAGGTGTGTCCCAGGAAAAGTAACTGCAGAAGAGCTAGGAGTGTTAGAGTAAGGGCAAATTATACAAGCATGCTCAGGGCAGGCTGTTGATTTCTCGTGGGGTTTATGTATAAACCCCAAGGAGGGGAAGGGCAAGAGTGTGGAGTTTGCAGCTTTATCAGTAGGTGGTTGTTATCCAGAGCACACAGTAATACTGTTCAACCTAGTCACCCTCAGCAGAAACACCTTTTCCATTCAGCAGTCAGTGCTTGGGTGCTCAAGTCCTGATGGCTTTGGGAAGTGGTTTGATAAGAAAGATTTGAGTTTCAGTCCCCTTCAAGTTAAATGCGACTAATTAGTAACCTTTAGCTGCTGGAAAACATTCATGTCCTGACTGGGAAATGATTTTTCTCAATAATATGTTGAAAACAGTTATGAAATGCTGCCAGTACTACCCATCAGTAGCAACTAAAAGGAAATTGCTTTGAGTTTCTATGTGCAGGTATTTTTAAGTTCTTTTAGGGATTTATTTTTTTGTATAAGTGCTTTAATTCTGTGGCAGAGGCTGACACTGGATTTACTGAGCCTGCAAAAAGATTTTCACTGTTAAATTAGATGGGCTGCTTAACTCTTAGGCTTCAATTTTCTGTCTGCATAGGTCAAACTTGTATTTCTGCTTTTGAGAATTCACTTCCACGTGATGTGTCCATGCCAGTAAAAAGCCCAAGTTAAGTGGTTTTTGTTGGGGTGTGGTTTTAGCTGAGATCCTGTGTAATTGATGCAACCTTTTTATTGTTCTGTTTGTTTGTCACAGGATGTGTAGATGACATTGTAACTGTGTTGGCTGAAGAACATGGTTGCCTTGATATTATTAAGGTTTGTGGAACTGGTTCACACTTCCATGCTGTCTTGTCCCACACATTTTATTCTTGCTGTGTAGTAGTTCACATACGTGTGTGTATAACCTTATTTGGTCACTTGACATTGCAGTATGAGGAAAAATTTTGAAGTCTAAACTGCGTATCTGAAATCCTTTCAACTAGCCAGTACTGATCATGTTCATGGTTTCCTAAAATTCCTGTCAGTCTCAGTAAATGTTAATGCTCTCTGGGTAGCTTAATAATGATAAATTGTCTCTACTGCTGGGGTGAATTGTTTTTCTTCCAGAAGTGTGGTCCTCTACGTATTCCACTTTACACATTCTGATAGCGTAGGTTTGTACAGTTCAACTCCTCCATCCCCAAAATAAATGGCTGAATTTCAGTGTCTGTGCATTTTAAGACACAGTGTGGAAGGATTCTGACCGTTAGCAGAAGGGGGTTCCTGGGTACCACGTTGTTTACACCTGGGTACAGGGTATCTCCATTAAAAGATGAACAGCAGCATACGTTGCACTTTTTTCAGATTAGGCTTTTCCCCCAAAACAAATGCTGGGCTGGGGGATGAGAGGAGTTACTTCCCCAGCCTCTGGGCTGCCACAGCTAACTCCAGCTGTGGAGGTGTGAAACTGCTGCCCTCAGAGGAAGAGTGTGCAAGTCAGAAGTTCAGTCGGAGCCGAGTGGCTTGCTGCGTTAGGACAGCAATAGACAGGCCTGCTCCCTGGTTTTCTTCTGTTCCAGGACCTTTCTGAAAATGTCATCGCTCTGCTGAAGAAATGCCTTACATTCCAACCTTCTAAGAGGCAAGTGCTCACTCTAAGTGCCTGGTAGACTCTGGTGGGATGCTATGAAACCAGAAGGCTTGTTCCTGAGCCTTCTTTGGAATACCGCTGATGTGCGCTACCTATAAGAAAATCTGCCTTTCTTGCTTTTCAGTCTTTAAAGGAAAATGGGTGGGTGGCAGCAATCAAGTGTGCAAACCCTTGAGATTGAGTATTTTGGGAGAAAACTTCAGGCATTTGTAGTTCTAAGTTCAATGCTTTTACTGATTCCGTGCCTGGAAGTGGGTGGTGGTTACTGTAGCTCTATTGTAGCCAGAATTAGGGCTGCTTCCTTCAAATCTCTGCTTTCAAAGTCCCTTTTTGTTATGTCTTCTGAAAGCTGAAGTATGCTTTTCATCTTTAATGGAGGCTTTGCGTTTGCACCTTTGCCATCTCTGCTAGAGGAGGTAAAGGGGGATTCATGAACTGCGCTGTGTACGTGACACGAAGGTGGATCTGAGCTTGTGCTGGGCACAGACTGGTGTGCTGTGTGTGCGTCAGGAATCGAGCAAAACTGGTGGACATTGGCTGTTAAAATTTCTGAAGTATAATTTAAAATAACTTGTTAATATTTGTTACTGGGGACATTTCTTACTGAAATGTAACATATTTGGAAGCACTTGGTGCTTAGCCTTTTAATTTTTTTCACTGAAGGCCAACTCCAGAGGAATTGCTGCATGCCAGCTTGTTCAGCGAAGTGTCCGCAGTATATCCTCCCTTCCACAAACCTGCCGGTCTGTTCTCATCTTCTCCAAGGTGTGCTGATCTGACGCTTCCTGAAGACATAAGTCAGTTATGTAAAGGTAAAAGCAGGTAGAGGGATATACACCGCTGGAGGAGGAAGGGAAATAAAAGGGGGTTGCATGTTCTTTGATTACTTTGGGAGAAACTATTAAACATTGTAATACTAGATTCCAGTAATAAGGTGTTTGATGGGCAGAGCTACAGGCAAACATGTGAAGTCAACGGAGGGCATCTTGACTTTGTGCTTCAGCCTTGGGGAATAGGTCATTGTCGCTCGTGTCCAAGTCCAGCTTGGAATATCAAGATGACAGTTTGCCTTCAGAATCAGGACATGGGTATCTACGGGGTAGGTTTTGCCCACTAAATTGGGTTGTGCAATGGCAAGTGGGTTCTGCTGGATCATAACATGGGATGGTTTTTGGAAGTATCGGAAAACTAAATCCTTGTGAAATAGGTCACTTTCTAGAATAAAATACATTTCTAAGTTCAAAGCTACAGTGTGCTGAAAGTGTTACCCCTCTGAAGCCCTCATTAGCTTTGTGATGCACTCAGATTCATTATACATTTCTGGGAGGCTGGGATGTCAACCCTTGTTAGTGTGGGTGGGGTATGTGAAGGCCAGATAGATTCCAACTACGCTGTGAATTGCTAGTTTCTTGGTTTTACTCTTAGTGCTGTGTGGTGCACCAAATAGTGAGCTCTGTCTTTTAAAGACACAGAGGAGGCAAAAGTCCACACTTCAGTGTATTCATCTGATCGTTTCGATTTTCTGGCATCACAGCAAACTGCAGAAATATTTGCTGCTTTTCTGCCTTTTGCCCATCTGGTCTTCCCTTAACTCTTCCTAAGCGTACTCGCAAAGGGAAGATCACTTTTCCTCTAACTTCACGTTAAGGTCTAGGACCTTTCAAGCATAATAATATTGTTTTGTTTTCAACCTAATGTGTTCAGAGTGGTAGGAAGAAATACGACCTGCCTAAAAAGCTGTGACTCATGTGGTTTCTCCCAGTAGATGAAGACGGTGATTACCTAGCAGAAAGATCAATTGAAGAGGTTTATTATCTCTGGTGTTTGGCTGGAGGAGACTTGGAGAAAGAACTTGTCAACAAAGAGATCATTCGATCCAAGCCACCTGTCTGCACGCTTCCCAAGTAAGGAGGGAGAAGCACCTTAAGGGAAAGGTGGGTGGGTGGATGGAGAAGGCCAGTTTTAATGAGAGAACATTTTGGTTTGGTTTTTAGTTTCAAGACCTGTATCTGCAAAAATACTGAAAATAATGCTCTTTAACAACAGGAATCATAGAATGGTTGGAAGGGACCTTAAAGCCCATCTAGTTCCACCCCCTGTCATGGGCAGGGACACCTTCCACTCGACCAGGGTGCTCCC